GCCGCATGTGGCTCGCGAGCCGCAGTTTGCCGACCACTGTGGGCTATCCTTGTGTGAGAAGTCTAGAACATTCTGAGACCTCTTTCTATGTACTTTATGAAGACTTTATTTTGAGTGATGCGCTGTGGAGGGCTCTGGGGGACACCCTCGTTTTTTCGGGGTCTGAGTCTCTAATTTGTCATTGAGTCCTGCTTGAGAACCAGAGAGGAGACGAGAGAAATGGAGGGAGGAAATGAGACATCAGACCTTCACCAACCCTGAACCCACGTCCCAGCCACGCCCTGAGGTGGAGCCCTGTCCCATACCCCAGTCCCAGACCCCCAAGCCCTCCTTCTTCACAACCCACTTCTCCTGCCCCACAAAGAGGAGGGGAGAGAGAGAGAGAGAGAATCATCAATTGGCTGCCTCCTGCACGCCCCCTACTGGGGATCGAGCCTGCAACCCAGGCATGTGTCCTGACTGGGAATTGAACCGTGACCTCCTGGTTCACAAGTCGATGCTCAACCACTGAGCCACGCTGGCCAAGCTGGAGCCAACTTTAATTTCAGTTTTAAATGAATAGTAAAAGAGAATTCGAGGGAACTTTTCAGACACGCTACCAAGACAGCACAGAATTTTGTCTGCCCTTGGCGACTAGATGTCCCATCTCCCCCCTAACGACTCTTTCCTCTCCCAGGATCCAATACAGGGCCCCACATGGCACTGAGCAATTTTTATTTTTTAAGACAAATATTTTTAATCAAGTAAAATAAAGCCTTACGGTATTTGGGGCATTGCAGGCGTTTCAGAATTACTCATTCCCAGAGGCAGTGGGTGTTGCCCACGCCCCACAAAGGCAAGAGTTGGTTTTTTATTTTTTGGACATTTCTCGACATCTCCAGGGGTGTCTGTGGTCCCTCCGCCCAGGCCCCACCAGGACCTCCCACTCAGTTCACCTCGCCTTTGTGCCCAGTCACGCAGGACCCCCCGAGAGAGCAGTGGCCCATCCTCTGGGCCCCCAAGTGGGTGGATTATTCCAGCAAGTACGGCTTCGGCTACCAGCTGTTGGATGGGAGCAGCGGTGTCTTGTTTCGGGATGGCACCCACATGGCCCTGCGTCCCCCCGGGGGGTAAGCCGTGGGGCTCCTGTCCCCTTGGGGGGCCAGGTTCTCCCCCTGCCTTTCTGCATCCACTCCTCAACTATGTGAGTACATACTGTGTACACCGCAGGGACTCACTGCCCGCTAGGGGAGAACGACGGTAAACAAATGAATAAGCTGATTTCAGGTAGCACTTTTCTGAAGGAAATGACTGGGTGAGGTGACAGATTGGGGGGTGGCCCATGACAGCATGCTTGTGGAGGGGCTTTCTGAAGAAGTGACATTCGGGTAGGACAGATGGTGCAATGGAGCCTTTGGGACCAGCATTTGAGGTACAGGGAACAGCATATGTGACCCAGCAGAGTGGGTGTAGGAACAGTGGGGGCTCCACAGTGAGTGAGAGGGAGACGGGGGGATGCGAAGTCAGGGGCCTGGAAGGCCACTGCTGGGGTTGGGGCAGGAAGGAGGGACCCGCCTCACACTTTTGACAAGATCTCTGGCAGCAGGGACGCAGGGGACCAGCAGGGAGGTGGTGGACTGGTCGGCTGGGCCATGGCAGTGACTTGGCTGGGGAGGTGGCAGAGCCGAGATGCGAGGGAGCTGGGATCTCGACTGAGTTGGCGGACGGGAGGAGGGAGCAGCCCCTGGGCGAGACGGGAAGATGGCAGGAGGGTGCGTGTGGGGGCCAATCAGGATCTCAGTGGACAGGCTGCGTCCATGGTTCCAGAGTTTGGAGTTTAGAAGGGGCTGGGGCTGGACCCACAGAGAGGGGTGGTCCGTGTGGCACTGGGTTTCAAAGCCACCATCCAAGGGGGTGTGGCTGGGTGGGAATGTGGCCCAGGACAGAGGCCGTGACCGCTGACCCCCCCCCCCCGTGCCCCACCCTCAGCCAGGTCAGCTACATGCCTGACCGAGGGAAGCTGGAAGTGTTGGCCCTGAGGGATGTGCCCAGCCCGCTGGGTGCCAAGCTGGCCGTCCTGCGACTCTTTGCTGGCTACATGCAGCAGCGGCTTCGAGAGGTGAGGGCAGGGGGCCAGTGGG